TCACAGCACAGCATAGCATAGCATAGCATAGCATAGCATATCGCAGCATAGCATAGCATAGCATAGCATAGCATAGCGCAGCATAGCATAGCATAGCATAACATAGCGCAGCATAGCATAGCATAGCATAGCATAGTGCAGCATAGCATAACACAGCGCAGCATAGCATATTCTGGCAGATCGTATAATGGCATATGCTTGCAGATCGCATAATGGCATATGCTTGCAGATCGCATAATGGCATATGCTTGCAGATCGCATAATGGCATATGCTTGCAGATCGCATAATGGCATATGCTTGTAGATCGCATATGCTTGCAGATCGCACATGCTTGCAGATCGCATATGGCATATGCTTGCAGATCGCATATGCTTGCAGATCGCATATGGCATATGCTTGCAGATTGCATATGCTTGCAGATTGCATATGCTTGCAGATTGCATATGCTTGCAGACTGCGTATGCTTGCATAATGCAGATGCATGCGCATATACATAACATATTGCATATCGCATATCGCATATCGCATATCGCATATTGCATATGGCATATGGCATATTGCATATCGCATATCGCTGCATATGGCATATATCGCATATCGCATACCGCATACCGCATATCGCAAATCGCAAATCGCATATTGCTGCATATCGCATATTGCATATCGCATATCGCATATCGCATATTGCATATCGCATATCGCATATGGCATATTGCATATCGCATATCGCTGCATATGGCATATATCGCATATCGCATACCGCATATCGCATATCGCAAATCGCAAATCGCATATTGCTGCATATCGTATATTGCTGCATATCGCATATTGCTGCATATCGCATATCGCTGCATATATGCATATATGAAATATGAAACATAAAACATATTTGCGCTGAGGATCGAACCGGCGACCTTCCGTTCTTTCCGGGGCTGTCCTAAGCGCGTACGGCACGCTCCCGACCCGGAATTTTCAAAACGCTCCAGACGGACAGACAACCATCGAACTGGGGAACTGGGGATAGGCCTCCGCTCATAGCATATGAGCTACGGCGACGTAGTCGCTACGGCTACGGACAGCGAACTGGGGATAGGCCTCCGCTCATAACATATGAGCTACGGCGAGTTAGATCGCGGAATGTACGAGTTTTCCGCTAGCGCCGGTATTTAGGGCGGTGACTGCGCCTATTTGTTTATCTCACAACGATCGGTATTCCTACCAGGAATCTCCTCAAGTCCTGCCGAACGCTAACAATACTCTTTACATTACTTGTAACAGTTTATCGTGCTAAATATCTTCGCCACCGGCAATCCTTCCGGAATAACAATTAGCGTTAGCTGTCACCGTCGCCAATTCTTCAATAGGTTATGAGCCCCGCTTAGCGCCGACAGTTATCGCCAAATTGTTATTTCTATCCCTCATCGAAAATGGTTAAGGACAAGCTTGATGAGTCGCTGGATCTCAACAACTACTCTACCTGGCAAATTCGGTTCAGCTCGTTGTGCATGGAGCTTGGGCTGAGCAAATCTCTGCTCGCCGAGCCGTGCAACGAGGAGCAAATTCGACAGTCACGGAAGGTCATCAATCTGCTCATCAAGAACGTCAAGGATCATCATTTGCCGATGGTTACCGGTGCTGCCAACGCGAAGAAGGCCTGGGACGCCTTGGGATCTATGTTTGCTGCCAACAACAACGCCCGCAAGGTGTCTCTACGTCAAGAATTCAGCCGTTTTAAGATGGTCGACGGCGAACCTCTTCCGATGTACTTTGCGCGTGCAAGGCAGCTGCAAACAGATTTATTGGGAGTCGGCCACGTAGTTAACGACTCCGAGCTGGCGTACACCGTGCTAGTTGGTCTACCCAGTCGGTACAGCGTGGTGACGACTACATTACTGATGCGCGACGGCGATTTGGACATGGCGAGCGTCACAGCAAAGCTTCTCTCTATCAAGACGGCTAATGGTGGGTCGGGCAAGCCTACCGAGTCGGCAGCCTTCGCGTCTGTCGGCGGTTCGACGTTCGGCGCTTCTAGTTCTGGTTATGGTAGCCGGGGGCCGGCTAACAACAGCTCGGGACATAGTCGGAAGCAAGTCATCTGCTACTACTGTAATAAACCTGGGCACGTGGTTAAGGACTGCAGGCAGCTTAAGGCGCTGAAGCAGTCGTCAAATTCTGGCTATAAGGGAGGGTACAACAACAGTGGCAACGGAGGTAGTGGCAGCGGAGCTAGCGGCAGCAAGCCAGGATCCGGTGGATCAGCAAGGGGGCCAGGAGTTCCGCGGCAGGTAGCATTCGTAGCATACAACAGCGAGCGTCCGACGGAATGGTTTCTGGACTCAGCCGCCACTCACCACATAACGTATGACCGCTCAGAACTTTTCAACATGCGGTTGTTGGAGCCATGGGAGCGCTTCAACATCATGGGCATCAAGGGACAGTCTCTTCGGCCGACTGAAGTTGGCACGCTTATGATTCGCTCTAACGTCAACGATAAGTAGGCCACCACTTTTAAGAAAGTCTACGTCGACGAGGAGGCCACCGCCAAAATCCTATCGGTCTGCATCATTGATGATCGTGGAGGCAGTGTGGTCTTCGGCGGCGGACAGGTGAAAGTATACGTACAGAACCACTTGGTGCTGACTGGAAAGCGGGATGGGGACTTGTATCCCGTCTGCTACAGCAGTGGAGGTACTGGCGCTCTGAAGTGGACGCAGCGTGAAGACAACAGGATACCTTCTGGTGGTGATGCAGTGTGTGCTGCCGTGGGTATCGGAGCTGAACGTGCAGCACTTTGGCACCGAAGGTATGGCCACTTAGGATACAGCAACCTTGAGGCGTTGCTGCGTCATGATATGGTAACTGGGTTCGATGTTGACCGACACAGCATACAATCAGCCAGCGCGTGTGTGTGTGAGACTTGCGTCTTTGCAAAGCATACACGTGGTCCTTTTCCGTTATCTGGGCATAAGGCAGCGCAGCCTCTCGCGCTCATTCACATGGATGTGTGTGGACCTATGCCTGAACCTTCACCTAGTGGTTCGCGTTACGTGACAACTCTGCTTGACG